AACCGAGCACATTCCACATCGTTCAAAAGTAATTACACTTTTGTCTAGAGTGTAGGAGACTGCTCTCCCTAAACAATGAAATTCTCATTATTAGAACTGGCACAATAACCACACTGGTTTAACAACAGTATGCATTATAGCATCACAATAACTTATGTTAAGTTTGATGTACAAAGGTAACTAGAAATTTAAAAGCTTATAAAAAGCACCATATAAAAATAGGAATCTTTACCATACCATAATTAAGGCCCTATTCTGTGACTTATTTTTAAGTAACACATGCATTTTTCTCTTTTCTCTCTTGTTAAATTTTCTGAACAGTATTTCACACATAACACTATCCTAGTCAAACATCGAAAACACATAACTGACTGTTAGATTGTAAGCAAATTTATATAAGAGGTATTTCAAGACACAGCTATAATATAGCAATTAAAATTATTTTGGGTAAATAAAGCATCCCAGGAGCTGACAGTGAGCCTGAACAAGTAAAAGCCTTTCTGTGTCATGTGCATTGAATGAATTCTTTCAGTGTTTAAGGCTGTATTTCATATATTAGATCCTTGCTATAATGACATACTGGAGTCTCAGCTGTATTTCCAACCTTTATAGAAGATCGACTTAAAAAGATACCTTTTTCTTCTTTTGATAGACTTCAGGAAGAAACTGACTCACTCTGAATGTTGTTCCACGATAATTAGTGTTTCTGTAATGTTTAGGCACATTAAGATATATCATATTATTAAGCTAAGATACCATATATCCATCGTTCTTTAACAATTCCAAGAAAATGTCATCACTATAAACAATAAATGAGACACTAATAACATCATACTTCGAAATCCGATGGATCTTTAAATGTTAAAAACACAAACACATATAGTATTTACTTCATAATAAAATTCAGCTATCTCTAGAGTGAGCAACTTAAATTATTTTTCAAAATAAAATATTACACTCTTCACTCAACACAAAAGTAGCTTAAAAAGTCAAAAGTTTGGCAGAGCTAGAATATGCTTTTTAGAAAAAAGAAAAAAGACAACTGATTATTCAGTAACCACAGGTGGTCAAGACTTCCATTTCACATCGCATTTGACACTGGAACAACAATCTAACCAACAGAAGTAGCATGCGACTAGACAGAAAATGAATGCCAACAGGGCCACCATAGAGTCCCCAGCTGCTCCTGATACTACTACTTGATTTCTCCTTGGACTGTCTCTATTTCCTTCTGGTATCCATGAATACTCATGTTAATTGACATGAGGCTGAATTCTGGATACTCCTTTCCATCATCAAATAAATCATCTATATCAGAACTATTATTAAAAACGAACCAGAAATTATAGTGATTCTTGCTTTTCTCTGAAACTCTGAAGTGACGGCCTCCAAATTCATGTTTAAAAAAAGCCCAGCAACAAAGCAGACAGGGGAGATTTGATCATCAGCAAGAATAAATTACCGAAATGTCTTTCCACTCGTGTCGGAATTAGACTTTCACATTGCTTTTAACTTTTTGAAGATTATATGGGAATCAAATTTTTCTATGAATTGCCTGGCAAGATTATGAGAGCTTCAAAGCAGGAACCAACAGAATCAGTCTTTTCCATAAACTTACAACAATCTGTCTCTTGATCTTATATTAATTAGAAATCTGAGAGTATTTTATGAAAATATATATATATATATATATATATATTAGTTAAGACAGTTCATCTGTAGTGCACTCTGAAAAGTGAGTACAATCTTCCAAGAATAAATGAACTTTTAATATTCATGCCAGTTACAGCTGTTTGGAAGTTGTTCTTAGTTAGGCACGTAATTTATTTCTCCAAATCATTAAGACAATAAACAGAATTTCAGAAAGGAGAAATTACATCCTTGTCTGTCTCAATTCTAAACCTTAACATGTGCATATCCTGAATCTGAATAAGGGATCCAGTCAAAGGCCATATATGGTATGCTCATGAACATGTGTGAAGAGCTTGGCATGACCAGAGTACTGGGTCCATAGTAGGATGTATTAGCAGAGGAGACTATAGCCATTGTTTGATGCTAGTCTATATAGAATTTTTTGCTAAGATAACAAGTTTGCAACTAAATCCTGTAAGCAACAGGACATAAATTAGTTTCAAAAGTTAAATAAACAATCCAAATCCTTTCTCAGGGAAACAAGACTAGTAGAAGTTAGAAGAAAGTTTGGAAAGAGAGGCTGAACATTTGAGATCATATAGGTGACTCTTCCAACAGTCTACTCAAGAGATGAAAAGCAGCTGGAATCAAGAAAAATATGAGGCAGAGACAAATTTAGAAACCAATTAACCATATAATTAAAGAAAATATAAGTGCTGGTGTCACTAAAACTAAGGTGAATCATTTGTATGTAAACTGTACTAACTTATGAATAGCTGATCTTAACCTTTTTAGGTTACAGATCCATTTGAGAATCTGATGGAAACCATAACACTACTCTGATATGCTCATTTATACAGAATTCTCCATTCATTTTTAGGAGATCTACAGACCCCAGTTAAGATCTTCTGCTTTAGATTGAGTTCTTTGAGGAAAGGGGATGTCTCTTATTCAAATCTATTTCCATAGTGTCTACAATAAAACATAGTACAAAGTAGGCAGTTCACAGTTTTTTAGTTAAACTGAATTCTGCATTAAAAATTGAATGGTTTTAGGCCGGGAGTGGTGGCTCACGCCTGTAATCCTAGCTCTCTGGGAGGCCGAGGCAGGCGGATTGTTTGAGCTCAGGAGTTCGAGACCAGCCTGAGCAAGAGTGAGACCCCATCTCTACTAAAAATAGAAAGAAATTAATTGGACAACTAAAAATATATAGAAAAAAAAATTAGCCGGGCATGGTGGCACATGCCTGTAGTCCCAGGTACTCGGGAGGCTGAGGCAGAAGGATTGCTTGAGCCCAGGAGTTTGAGGTTGCTGTGAGCTAGGATGACGCCATGGCACTCTAGCCCGGGCAACACAGTGAGACTCTGTCTCAAAAAAAAAAAAAAAAAAAAAAATGGAATGGTTTCATTTGTATTAACTACTGCATTCCAGCATCTCCTCATGTCACTAAATTATGTAATTTAATATACTTTTCTCATATCCAAACTTAAGTGTACTTAAAATAATTTCCCCTTTATCTTTTTGTTATTCTTTTATTCATAATCATTTATATTCCCCCTTCAAATACGTATGTTTGTGTTTATGGTGCTATCACAGGAAAACCAATCCAAGAAGTATTCTCAATTGGATACTCTCTGAGAGAAGGCAGTGGTCAAAATACTAAAAGGGAAAAGACATTTGCAGTGATGCAATGCCAAATAGAGTGTCTTTCTTTTCCTAGTTTTTAACTTTTTTGAGAGGAAGACAAAAAGTTTTATCATTGCCCATAACTAACTTGAACTCATAGAATAAAGAAGAGGGAGGAATGATGGGTGGTATGACTTCACTTGCCAAATGATAATCAGAGTATAAAATACACCTGTGCTCTTGTGAAGCAGCAGCATGCATAATGATATAAGCATGGACTTCAAAGACAGATTGCTTGGGTAAACTCTGGTTCTCCCACTTCTTTCCTGTGATCTGAGAAAGTTATTTAACCTCTTTGTGCCTCAGTTTTCCCATCTGTAAAATAGGATTAATAATAACACCTCACTGAATTACTGTGAAGGTTAAATGAGTTGTATTATTAAGACATGCTTAGAACATCATTTCTATATAAGTGCTACACACAGATTTGCTAAAACATTTTTCTTGGTGGAAAAATCTTGGCACACAGTAAAATGTCTAAAGAAATTTTGACCTATGAGGCCAAAATGTTGAATAGGAATATTTAAATTTAATGTGAAAAATCAAAGTATCATGTCTATTGCACAGTTATTAAAAGATATCTCATTCTTCTTGTTGATTTAATTCCACATACAGTAATTCAATAACATGAATAAATCGGCATATCTGAGCACTAAGTATATTGATGATATGTGATAATTTCCTGGAGAGAGAAAAAAAGATTTAACAGAATCAAAGCTGTTTTAAAGGTATGGGAATGTAAAATTAAACATTTTTGTTGGTATAATCAGGTTCAAATTAATACCACTGGCATCCTTGACATAGAAGAGGAGGAGAATTTACAAAAACGTGACATCTACCCAAGCAGCCACGTTGAAAAGGTGACAGTGGCTTTACTGAGAGCTAAGTGCCCTGCTACTTTGTTAACATGATGATCCTATGTATTTAAGTTGCTAAGAAGGACCAAAATGCCTTATTCATGTTTGTGTGTGCTATTTAAGCATCAGCCAAAGATGCTGTGCTGCCTTCTCTCCTCTTACCAATGAAGCCCAGTTTCCTAATCTTTTGCAGTGTTCCAGAGCTCAGATGAGCGGCCAGAGGAATTACCCTGAGTTGCATATTCTAGAACAGGAAGCAACTGGGAATTACTGAATTATCAAAACAACAGCGTGAATGTGATGGAGTTAGAAATGAGTGTAGTCATATTAGAAAATATAGTTTCTATGAAATATATTCTTCTACAAAATTCCAAGTACTGTATGGAATATTAGGATCTAATCTGGGCAAAGCAAAAAATGGAAAAACAATGATTTATCATGGTGGAATGTTCAAAATATGCTCATTGTAACTCTATCTGGAAAAACCTTTTATTAGAAAGTATATGACATCAAACTTTCACGCTAATTTTAAATATCTTACTTTAATATTATTCTTACATTTTGTATGGTTTTTTCCCCCTCTAATTAAATTACAAGCATCTCAAAAGCAGGAATTCTTGAAAAACAAAAACAAACAAACAAACAAAAAATCTTATCCTCCCTGTTGGAACAAATTTACTTATAAAGAACTCTAAGACGCCAGGAGTGAATCTTGTGTATGGTTAAGTAAATGATAATTATAAAGCAAAGGATGAAAGCCAAACTATTAGAGGAGTAGACTGGTCAAAAAGTGAGTGTAGGCACAATAGACTATGAGAAACCTACCATTGTATTGTGCTGAGAAGTGGGAGTCCTATGGCCACAAGTCTCTTGCGTCAGCAGAGAAACTGGCTGAAATTCCTCAGAGTGAGGTTTGTTGGGAAAACTCACATGCAAGGGAAGGTGAAAGGCTGGGAGCCCGTCACTCTCCTCTTCTTCCACTTTCTGTCTGCTTGTCACCATGGCTACCTCTCCATCTGCTTCCCCATACGGAGAGGCTGGTCGCTTGGAAGACATCCTGGAAGGAACAAAAGAGGAGAAAATAATGAAACCTCCACATAAATCCTTAATGCCGTCATTGTGTGGTTAGGGGCCATTGTAACAGAAATGCCTTTTTGTGCTAGCAGAGAGCAGGAAACCATCCAAATACCACTGCAAAGCACACACAATCAGAAACAATGGCCAAGCAGGTAGCAACAGAACAGTGCTTGTTTGTTGTGAGAATAATACACTAATATAGCACTCTCTTGTATTCTGGCTTCTTAAACAAGAGAATTCACCTAAGAACACTGCATAATGAAAAACCATTCCATTTTAAAAGAAAGAAAAATACCCATCTAGTTTTTCACTCTGATAGACTTTATTGAAGACAAAACATCTATGAATAGCAAATACTGTTGGCAGTTTAAAAGAAAACAACTAAAATTTCTTTCATCAAAAAATAAACCAAATAAATGATTGCCATTAAAACAAATTTGAATTTTTTAAAAGTAAGATGATTGTGAAATGTAGAAGTATTGGTTATAAGTAAATACTCAGAGCAACAGACAAAAAGTTTGATATTTGTTGAAAGCTTATTAAGGATTGAATAAATTTTACAATCACTGTTAATCTTGAAATATTTGAGAATTTTCTTTCCCTCACCTCCCCAAATCACCCAATTTTGGCATTTAGTTATAAGACCAAAGTTACAAAATAATAAAAAGGTTAGAATATAAAAACATTTCATTTCTATTTTCACAATTCTATGAATGACTTGGATATGAATAGTCCTCAGATGTATTTACTCCTTAGAATACTTAAATAAAAGAAAAAAATCCAAAGAGGGATTTTTTGATGAGCTAAAGCCTATATGAAAATGGGCTTAGATAAATGAACAAGAATAAAACGTTTTATGTGTACTTGAGTCTGGTTCAGAATATTATCAGAAGTTAAAACTATGTGGCAAATATTTTAAATAAAAAGTTCCTTTTCCTTTCATTAAAAGTTTTACATAGAAATGGAATTGAATTAAATGCTTAATTTAAAAAAAAACTCTCTTGTAATATTTATAATTTAATCTGACCTTGAAAAAGCTGTATTTTTTGTTCAACAAACAAAGAGTAATTTACAGAATCATTCATTCTTATTCTATTCCAGTGAGATGGGAGGCAGGAAAGTACTAATAACCATACCATTTCCTTCATATATATATGAAGGATATGAATATCCTTTATATGTTTATTTATTTATACATAAATAAATAACTGATTTTTAAATTTAAAATGTGTTCCCCAAAGAAATGCCTCTGATCATTGTTGAGTAATACTATTTTTAGTGTTAGAAGTTTCAAAAGAAAAATGTATTTAAGTATTGAAGGTACTCTGTTACAAAATAATAGGACAGTAGAAGGAAATAAGGGCTCTGGAATCAGACAAATATGGATTAAAATACTGATGCCGCCACTTACTAGCTGTGAGACTTAATTTCTCAGTCTTAATTTACTCATCTTTAAAGCTAGATATAATATCAACCTTACAAGTCTTTTTGAAAATGGACTGTATACCCTATGAAAAATAACTAGTATTTAAAACAGAGGCATCATTCAGTAAAGATAGCCCTTATTTATTTTACAAACTTTAAAACTACAGTGTGACCCACCCATCCTCAAAAAACAAAAACAAAAAAACTCCAACCTGAGGAAAGCAGATTGCCTTGTAAGAGTTTAACTGTAAAATCAACATAAAATGCAAAGTTTCCCAATAGAGAAATGCTCCCTGGCCAGCAATACTTAACAGTTAACAATCAAATGTATTAACAAGTGTTTTTTTAAAATGTTAATAGTAGGGGTGTTGATCAGCCAAACAAACAGATAAAGAAGAGGAAATATTAGCAGCTACCATGTGAGCACTGTCTAAAGCAGTAGACCTGGCCTTCACATTTTAAGTATTTTTAACTATTTCCAATCTCTTACCAAGGTCTATTCCAAGTATATTCTAAGTATGGAAAAAGATGTGAAAGGCTGGAGTTCAGAGAGTTAGAATAGTTCTAGTTTCATTGGCAAGACTGTGCAGATAACCAAATTGACATATTACTATAAATAATAACTCCTGAACACTAATTTAACTCCCACTGTTCTGATTCCATGTTCTGCAAGCAAACTTCTGATTCCCATATAAAGAATTTGCAAACAGAATAGACTTGAAATATTTAAGGTTTTTGTCAAGTGATTTATCAGAGTAAATTAATAGAGAACCTTTTAATTATTTCTTGGTTTCACATGTAGCTTGATGACAAGGAGATTATGCCTTTGTTATACAAACGCTAGTATTTGTGGTCTGTGTAGGCATTATCAGTCTTACTGGAATTAATATGTTGGTATTCTGATGTCTGCCTCAGCCTCATAATGCAGCCTCTTGGTGTCTGAAAACTCTAAGCAAGAGCCAGTCTCTAGGTTATCAAAGCAGAAAGCGAAATCAGCTGACCTTTCCTAAGTTAATATAATTCTATGACTTTTCTGTTGATTTTTACTAGTATTAATATCATTATGAATATCAATTATGAAAACTGAAAGTCCAAAAGTAGACATAAGATAGATAAGGTAGACAGATAAAATATTGATACTCTTTTCAAAACTTATGTTCCTTTCAGTATCTAAATTAACTTTATATATACCTGGGTAAGCATTCTCTCTGTGTAACATTCTATGGAGCAAAAGGTTTAGGGTCAAAAAATACTGAATATGAAAGAGTCATGGTTCCAGGAGTCAACTAATCCTAAAATATCATATATTTCATGTCTATTTCAATTCTACTGTCAGAGTGCTACAGAATGTTCTTAATGCATTGTATTTGAAAGTATTTTTAATATAATTCGGGTAACAAATTTCTTAAAGATTTGTTAAATTACAATAAAAATGATGATGATTATATATAAATAATAGGCTAAGTCAGAAAAAGTGAAATATGTAACAAATTACATAGAAAGCAATCAATCTGTTGGTCTTATTATCCATATTTATTATGACTCATAGTACTTCTAAAGATATCGATAACAAAATCACCAATAACAGTAGATTCCTGAGTTTTTGTTCATCTACCAAAGGGTTTCATCTTGGGCAGAGAAAAGTCTCCCTAATTTCATAGGCATTCAGAAGGCACCACAAATTTCCATACATTGTTCCTTACGCTACAGGGCTTACACCACCTGGCTGTGTTGCAGTGCAAGGGTACCTTAGAATAATTTGAGGATCTAGGCTGGTGTGTGCTTTTATGTATTCATTCAGAGATTATTTTTGTCATTCCTATGGTTAGGTGCTAGGCTTACCAATAAACAAAACTGAGACTTCAAAGAAATTGACATGAAAAAGACAAATATAATCCAGTGTGAAACTGCCTGGCAGAGCTATGATGACATAACAGTGGTCTTTAACTCAGTTTTGTGTGTGGTCAATAAAATCTTTTCAAAGAACTGACATTTAATCCCAGGGCAAGAAGGAATCTTCCAAATCCACAACTATTTGCTGACCATCTACTACATGTAAGACACTCATCTATGGGAATGAAAAATGTAATTCATGGCCTCTGCTTAAAGAAACTTATGAACTGGTTGAGAAGATTTTAAAAAAAAGGAGATACAATAATGAAAAGTGACAGTTCAGTCTAAGGGCCAAATCACATTATAGCCAAGCACCTGAAGGCTTCATGAGGGCCAGAGGATTCTTGAATGCTTCACAAAATGGTTGACTAGTGGCTTTTAAGGGAAAAGAAGAACAAATGAAAGCCTTGGGATAAATGGAGAGGGAATTTCACATAGGAAGTAATGGTAAAAGCAAAGATGTAGAAATACTTCTAGAAAGTGTAATATCAAGCTTACTTAGGAAAAGGAGGAGATTGAAGAATGATGGATCAAATCCCAACTCTAGTCTGTAACACTCCTGGATTTACTAAGTTACATGAACAAAATAGTAAGCAACATCCTCCCTTGTAGGAGCAACTTGGTTTTATAAGGAGTTGCCTTTCCTTTACTTTCCCCTTAGCTTTCTGCACAATCAGGCTACTCTGGTCAATATGTGATAGTAATTTTAAAACTACTGTGGTCTTTTGCTATTGGCTGAAGGCTCTCCATGTGCACTATAAACACTCTGCAAGGAGGATATCCCCCAAATGTGTTCAGACATGTATAGCAAATTTAAAGACATTGCAAAGGGTGTGAGACTGCAACAGAAAACTAAACAGTGGCTCTCAACCTTTGGCTGTACATTGGAATTACCTGGAGAGGTTTTAAAAATGTGGATGCCTGGGTCTCACCCCTAGAAATTCTGATGTTATTGGTTCTGGAGGGCAGACTGGGTATTAGAATTTTTTAAAGCCCTCCAGTGATTCTAATATGCAGTTAATGTTGCAAACCATTTGTGGTTGTCAGAGTAACATCCCCTTAACCAGGGTGTCTGTGTGCTAATACCTTACATGGCAAAAAGGACTGTGCAGGTGGGATTAAGAATCGTAAAATACCGAGATTTTTCTGAATATTTTTGGTGGGTCTAAAGTAATAACAAAGATCCTTCCAAGAGGGGGAGGCAGAAGAGTCAGAGACAGGGAGAGAGTGGACAATACTATCCCATTGGCTTTGAAGATGGAGGATGAGGCCATGAGCTGAGGAAGTAGACGGCCTCTAGAAGCTAGAAAAGGCAAAGAAACGGAGTCTCCCTTAGATACTCCAGAAGGAATGGAGCCTTGCCACACCTTGATTTTCATACTTCTGACCTCCAAAACTGTAAAAGAATACATTTATATTGTTTAAGCTACTAAATGTGTGATAATATGTTACAGCAGTAAATGGAAACTATTAAATAATATACCATTGATTTCAACACATTGCTTTCACAGTTGGCATTTTCTCAATCTAAAATCCTCCTATTCCAGATATATACTTGCCTTGTTTCCTCTCTTCATTCAGTTGTTTTGCTCAAATTTTATTTCCTCAGTCAGGCCTTCTTCCTTCATTACTCTTCCTAAACCTGAACCTCATCCCTTTTTT